TAGGACTCTGAATGGAAGTAAACGCATGCCGCGTCTCAGAGAAGCGATCGACCAACGGCTAAGGCTATATCCTCTATCCTTTTTATGGAGCCAAAGTGATAGACAGCTGGCTGAGGCCAGACTAATCCTATGTTTTTAGCGGTTTCTTTTTTCAATCGTTGAAAACTGCACTTGATTATCGGATCACATTCGAGAAAATCGAAAAGGTGTCTACGAGAGTTGTCCTCGGTGTCAATCACCTAACTTCCGCTATCTCTTAGCGTTCCACTTGATTAGCCCTTTATGAGGTCAAAAAAGCAACAGCATTTTCATTCTTTGAGTGGACTGCTGAAAGCTGCTTATGAAAACTGAGATTGTAGCTGAAGCTTTTCAGAGGATTTCGCATGGAACTCCAGAAATCATTGAACATTCAGGACCGTATGAGCGTGTTATTCTTGGGACGGCCTCTTATTCTTAGGACGAGAAATAGAGGCCTTGTCTTGAGCATTCTGGAAAACTTCATTTGCACTTCAGTCACGCGTCTATATACCTTCACGATGTTCAATGAAAGCCGAATGCATAGTAGGTGGAAAAGAGCAGTTCTAGCTCTTCCTCTGTTCCTTTTGCGCTTCCCAAAAGGACCCCCATCTAAAGGGGGGAATCAATGAAAGAAAGGCACTTGCTCATAGAGTGTATCTCTAGAACCTTTTTCGCACATAACGACGGGGTAGATGAATAATGTGGACAATAACTAGAGACACTCACCTCGGCCCCTGTACTTATAGAATCCGTAAATCTTCGCGCCTGGATTTCATAACGATAAAGTTGTTTGTCAGAGATGAGTCATGAAAAATAAACTATGGACCGTAGCGGCGTTACGCGAAAAGCTAGAAGTTTGTCTCCTTCACTGTCATAGCGACACCTACTGGAAACCTGAGTATGAGTGACTCAACCGTGGAAATTACGGAGCTGCTTCAAGCTGACGCGATTACTTTAGGCAGTGTTCAGCTCGACGGCGATGAAGGATGCCTTAGCTTATCTTGTCATGGCCGTGCAGGCTAGAGTGGGGTAGTAGTTTGCTCATAGAGGAACAGGAGCATTGCACAATAGCCTTTCATACAGCTTGACATCCTGTGCGAAGGAGACTTCGATGATCCATCCTACGGATGAAGTGCCGCTTTTTATGGCCCTAGCTCAGATGAGAGCCCACCCCCCTAGGAGTGCACTCCAAATTGAACGAAACTCCTCCACGTTTGTACAAAGTAGGGGAACAAGCTTCCAAGTTCATTTTTCTTTATATGTTCGAAGCCTATTGACTTCTTTCTGCTATCGACACTTGGCTTGAAAGAACGATTCTCTAGTACAGGGTCGGAAGCGATCTAATGCATCTGTCGTCCTTTTTAAGCGATGTGATCCAGGCCAGACTAAATAATAATTGCGACATCTTTTGTTGAAGGGACATCAGAACGATCTCATAGAGCTTTCAAAGCATTCAGTCGACCCCACAAAAAGGCGCTATTCAGGCACGTGGTGCGTAACGGGGCGGAAGGGTTGAGAGGACATCACGTCATCATATTAACCTTATTCGTTTTAGAACTACGCACTTACATTTGTCAATCGAACGACTGTCGGCTGGAATTCGAAGGGAATCGCGATGAATGGGTCGCTATCAATGATAATGGATGTTATCTGGTGCGTGAGAATATCACCTTTTCTGCTGACAAAAACGGTTTCGAACAATGTAACTGGAACTTTAGTTATGGGTATTATCGGTGTGACTCAATTCAGAGGAAAGAAAAAGGAAGAGGGGCTGGAAATGTGAAGCGTATTTTTCTCAATGCAAGTTGCACAATAAACCCTTAAGGATTACGCTTAGCAGGACATAATTTGACGCCATTGAACAGCCGCTGCGCGACACCTCTCAAGGAAGGTACCCTTACAGCGCCCTGTTAAGCTGCAACATACCGATCTGGACGCATTCTGTGCCCGCCCACAAATGTCCGACTGGTGCTGATACTGGTATAGCTTCATTTGCAAAGTGCGTGCAGTATGATGCAAAGGGATTGATATGAAGCGGCCGCGATGCCCGTGGATATAGTACATGCAGCCGCATGTACCGTAGCGGTTATTGGCACAATGCCAAGAGGAAACTCGTCCAAAATTCCATTCTAAGACGTGTGGAACGGAGACATTAGTTCCGAATCATCGCGCTTCGTGCATTCAGAGAGATAACGCGAGGTGAACTTCTTGAGAGACTGAAAAGGCCTTCGGTGGCAGTTTCAAAGACTGGCCCGTTTTGCGCCAGTTATTGTCGCCATTGCCCTTGGCACTCGTTGATAAGAATGCTTTACATTTAGAATGTTCTGAGTAACGCTTTTTAGGAGTACAAGGACGACATTGAAGAAACAGTAGAGTTCTGTCCATTACAGTGCAATACCGCCACCTCTGCCATAATTATTGAAGAGGTAAAATTATTTTGCAAGCTTTTCGAAACATCTAGTAGAAACAAGCCTGTTATGGCACAACTAGAGTGATGCATAGTCCGCCTACCAAATCGCGGATTCTCTCAGGGACCCTTCAGTTTTCCGAGAGTCGCTCGATCTGGAATATAGCTGCTAGGGAGAATAAGAGACTCCAGCTGTGTGTAGATAACCCGAGGCTTTCGGAAGGCGGGCAAGGCAGTCGTAATTTTAGCGCTCCGTCGTAAGCAAAGACGGATTTGGCGTTTCCCTGATTAGCATTAGACTTTCGGCTTGAGCACCGAATTCCATGTAGACTACGGGATCGTAGAAGCTTAGGGTTTTTTGTTACCCTCCACGACCTGGAAACATCGCCTTTTGCGAACACGACGTCGCACGCTACCTACGCAGGCACGGTGAATCACGGTTGTCTTGTCACACACCCCCGCATTTCTTTGTGTTCTTCATACTGAAAAGTCTCTACGTTCTCGAGTAGAAGTCGAATGCGCAGCGCTTACCTTAGGGTAATGCCCATAGCCAGCCGTTCCATATTTTTCAATTTTATCATTCATTGCGCTTCAGTTTTTGAAAACATTCCAAGATGTTCAAAATTCTACAGACTCCTGAAAATGAAGACTGTACCGTTGGCAGTGGTGTGAATGTGGTGCGACGACGAAATGACTGGTTTATGTGGAGAGGTGAAGACTGCCAGAAGGTGCAGGCGAACTTCAAAATTGGCTGTACGTTCGACAAAAGGTAAGACTCTGTGAAGATCACTTGGAACCGTCATTAAAAAGCATAAATTGAACACAACATTAGCAAATAAATAGAATAAGCATCACTAAATATTTGACACTTACCTTTCATTATGTCTAATTACCGATTGAAAGGCGCTGCTCCATCCGGGTGGGGGATGGGCATTTCCTCAGCTAGATAGCAACAATAACAACAACATAACAATAAAAAAATATCGAGATCAAATGCCGATTCCCCTTACCCAACCACCAAATAACCTTCGTTGAGGACTCCGACATTT